CTCTTCTCAGAGGTAACACTAGGGATGAATGTAGACTGCACACCTGGCAACAATTAGGGCCATAACCGCTAGACCTGATTCACGCAGGTAGTTGGCAGTTAAAGCTATAGTAACCAATGGATGATGTAGGAACATGCTCATGATAAAACAGACTATAAAACACTTATTAGTTGCTAGTTAGAACCCTAACATTTCTTGCATTGCTCTGTGCAAACAGGAGGCTCTTATACCATGTTCAGGGACTGGAATGGCTATGGATGGTCCTGTTAAGTTGTTCCATGTTAATAATAAAAAGCTAGCCTTTGTTTCATCTCTATGAGCACTTTACCCCCCAGACCCACTCCCAGCAAGGACCAACATCCCAGTCCTTTTCAGATCCTATTTGTTCACTCCCTATATATAGATATCACAGGCCCTACAGACCTAGAAAGTTTACAGTGTGTCCTCCTTCCCCACACTTAAAAACAAGAAAAAAAATATAAAGGAATACGTGAGCTGAAACTGAGACAGGAGGGTTACACTTGTTAAAAAAGGTTGAAAACCCCTGGGGTAGGTGTTCTACACACAGATGTGACATGTTCTCACCCCTGAACCCATAAGCCAAACTCTTAAAAAATAAATAAACAAATAAATAATGGTATATGGATTTTTTTTTTTTTGTGGAGGGAGGTTGTAGAGCCAGGTATTTGCAAGTTTATACACATGTTCTGTTTTATTTAAATTGTATTTTCTACATTGCATGGTCATAATACTTTACTGATAGCTGGCTCTTTTAAAAACAATGAGGAAGAAGAGATACTAATACCTTTTACGTGGACTTGTTCAGAGAAGACATTTCATGCATGAAAGGGTTGGGGAAATGTTGAAGAGCCTGTACATGACATGGAGGAGGAAGAGGAAGAGAGGTTTGAAAAAGAATTTATGATAAATGGAATAGTGAAGGGGGCAGGTCTGTGAAGATTTTAAAGGTTTGATATTGATTTTCAAAGTAAAATCACCTGGATGATCCAGTATCAGTCTGGGTGGCACCTTAAACCTAAAATATGATACTGTATAACTTCCATCCTTTTACTGCATCATGGTAGTTCCAGTCTAATAACAGGCTTTTTACCTGCAGTTACATCGTGTGTTTTTTGGGTGCCAGGACAAAACATGTTTACTGTATAGTAAACTGACTTTACTATGGGGAACAGACATGATGTGCAGCATAGGATCAGGAACACAAACAAGTGGTTTCATAATCGACAGATTTAAAACCTGTGCAGGGAAACCCTAGTGAAATTACTAATCAATCACCTTAACCACATGGCCACAACTGCCAGGAGCACACTGACGTAAATACTTTGAATCCAAGGTAAACTTACCCTTTGAAAGCTATGTATTATTTTTAGTAACTTCCCATGTATTATGTGGAACACGTGCATCCAGCCATCCACTCCTCTAGTTTCCTTCTTGGGGAGTCATTTGTTCAGTGCAAACTGCCTACCTGCCATCTAATGGCCAGTTGCTTGAATAGCACTCACTGCAAGCAGCTAGCTTGGGTGAATTGATCTTTTTATTAGGGAGAAAAATCTGAGGTAAATTAATTTAATTTTATTGCATGTGCACCATTAGTTTTAGTTAGAGACACTAATGATGGCATACTAAAAAGTAAGTACTGCAGCATTTGTCTGGGGCTTCTGCTACTCAAGAATGAGAAGTGAAGTTTTGGCTCTGGTTTTTGACTACCAGTTAGCAGCTGAAGCTCTAGGTTGGAGAAAGAAAAGGTAATTTTGCTTTACTTTCACTACTTGAACAGAGGTTAGGAAGTGAGAGAAGAGACGGAGTTTTGAATGTCTTACTAATCTCTTATTGGCAGCTAACTGCACCCTTCCAGTGGAACTGTAACTAAGAAACTTAGCTGCATTTTTCAGTGAAACAAACACAACAGTCTTTAACAGGCTTGACAGGTAAAGCATCTTCATCAGACGTTGAATTGTATTTGGTGAGATCAGGTCCATCAGCTTTCACTCCTGTGCACCAAGTGCAACAAACAGCTGAAGTGGCCTGATGTGCTATAGCAGACTGATAATAGCAGTTTACGTATGTTCTTTTGCATACCTACTAACAAACAAACACGTGCTTTTAGCAGCTGCTTTTTAACATGGGTGGTGGTGGTCTTATTTCAGTTTTAGTAAGGGAAGCGTGATACAGAAAAACTGAAGCCAAAACTACCTGTTAAAATCCAGTATCTAGTGAGAGACAGCCTAATATTTCTAGATTATATTAGTATAGTAGGTGTTCAGTATGAAATTCTAATCCATGGTCTACAACCTTTTTAGATTCAAAGCACCCCTCAGAAAATGCCAGCTCTTAGCTTTCACTCATTTTAGGAGTACTAAAAAATAATAGAACACACAGAGCGTGAAAAGGCAGGATGTTTTTGACATCGTTTCCTATTTGTCTTGTAAATCATTTGTAGATGTTTTCACATGTAATAGCAAGAATATTGTGCTGCACCCTCAAAAGGATCTCATTGCACCTTTCTTGGGATTTACCATTACGTGCACTTTCAGCTAGAGTTGTGAGAACTTCACAAGTAGAGAAATCTAGTTGCAAGTGCCTTTTAAACTGGGTTCCCAGAATCAGGAAGTGCACATTATCAGATGTGTATGCTGTGGTGGGTCTTGCATCATGTTGCCATGACATTCCTAAGGCAGGATGATCCCGATCTTGAGGGAACAGTCAGCTTAACCATGACTTAAACTTAACCATATTTAATTTTCTTTCTGCAGTCGCCTCCCATATTCACATGACATTTTCTCTACCTTATAAGCAGGGCTGTCCTGGGGGGGGGGGTGAATCAGGGTGAGTGCCCCAGGCCCTACACTTTGTTGGGGGGGGGGGGCCCTGGGGTGAGTGCCACATTTAGCAGCCTGGGCTGTATTGTCCTCCTG